CTCACAGTATGTCTGTACTTTTCCACCCCTGATCTGGACAGACTGTTACAGCGGTGTGGGACAAAAACTATAATAATCAGTCGCACCCCCGTCTCCCACACATAACCGGAGGAGGGTCTCCAACACAAACAAAGTAAAGTCCCGAGTTAAGAGTTCAGCCAGTTTGAGATTCTCCCTCAGGGAATATCATGCTATGAATGAAACAACAAACATAAACTTTGGGGATTAAAAAGCCATCCGAGCAGCTGGAAATCGTTGTTTTTCCTCCAGCCTACCATCCTCATTTCTTCAAAAAAGAAAAATCGCACTGACCTTTGGAGGAGTCCTGGCTTTGACCTTTTGCTGCGGCGGTATCTTGCGTTTTGGGTTTTACTAAACAGGAAGCATCGTGAGCTTCCACTGCCACATCCACGGGAACTTTTTTATCAAGTGGTTCAGAGAGTGAACTGGAGGCCTCGTCTGCAAGTAACAACAGTATGCAGCCATTACATTCAAGTTTGTGTTAAACTAATCAGTGGTACAGTGTTATTAAACAGCGCGTTTCACGCTTGTGATCTTAAGAACAGACTTAAGAACTTCAGCACAAAAAGTTGACAGTTACAAGAACTGAACTACTAGTCCTGCACCTGAAAGTAGAGATGCTAGGCGCTAATTAAGCATTGCAAAATTAAACAGAACTATTCTTAAATTCAAGAATTTAATCTGAAGCATATTTTGGCTTCTTAGGGTCACAGAAGCTGTTTAAACACACAGAGTGAGACAAGTTCAGTCAGACAACCAGTCGTTGCTTCACGCGCACACACGACTGGTTTGTTTAAGCTGCATTTTCCCATCTCTCCCCAATTTCTACATGCAAAATATCTACGTGGACCGTTGAGCTCGAAGCTTGAACGACTAACTACACAGTGCTGCTGTAAGAAGTAAAAGGTAAAGGCGAGTGGTCTGACTGAACTGCAACTTCACAGAAAACCTTCATTTCCATACAGGCATCAATAAAATACACAGTCACATATTCATGAGTACTCACAGAGTAACGAAGTCAACATTGTACAGAAGGGGATTCCACTTGGTAACAGCAAAGAAATGAAAAGATGTCGGTATAACCACAGGTATAAATGGGCCCCTAGGTATTTTTCTGATTTTTAACACTGATAGCAACAGTTATCCATTTTTGGTTTGGCTCAAAACATTTACTTGAAAGGTTTGGGATCAAGTAAAAGTGAAATAATAATAAAAAAAACTTTAAAGCTAGGATTCAGAGATGTCAAATTTGAAGGAAAGGACAGAAGACCCGCTAGCAGAACCCATGAGAAAGCTAACAGAAGATTCACTTCAATTCTGTTTAGGTCTTGAGCTTTTTCCAGTTATATGCAAGCTTTTGCATGAACCTTGTTCTTCCTTGTTTGCCTTTACAGTTATTATTTTTATTAATAGCCAGCATTTTTTAATGGTTAACAAAAGCTGTGATCGTGAACATGATTTGTGTGGGTGATGTTAGCATAAAAGAAAAAAAGATTTCCTATAAAAGAAGTTGTGTTTTTTTTTATTTATTTAACTGCTTAATTATGAGACAACCCCCGTTCAACTGTATAGCGAAACTTGACCAATTACAACAAATGATGACGCGAGTAATTTATGCAATCAAACTGATTTATTTTGAAATATATTTACAGCTTATAAATATCATAAATTAGCATTTTTACAGGAATTCTCAATGTGGAAAAAATAAGGCTGGAAGGCTGCGTTGAGATAACATAACTGCATAACACAGACAGTACAGCCACAAGAAGGTCTGTGGCAGTGTGCAAAAAAACCAAAAAAAAAGCTGCTACTGGGCTGCTTCACTCCTGAGCAAAGACTAGGAGGTACATGAGAGGGACCTGGAGAGGGGCTCTGAGGGGGGGAGGCTTCCTTCTGAAACAGAGGGAACCACAGACAGACCACAGACATGTGGACACGTGTTACCGTCGAACGGGCCTAAGAAGAAGGGAGGCTGCTGCTGTGTTAGAGAACAAATCAATCCAGGGGCATTCACGTCGATGCTTGGTGTTAGAGGAGTGAGGGACAAGCAGAGCGCAACATGAGCATTACGAGGGTTAGCCTGCGCAAACTGGCTAAAAAAGGTGCTACATATGCATCCGTTAACCATAAGATTATGAAGTTTAATCCAAGGTTTTTAAAAATAGAGGACCTGCAAAATTAACCTTTATATGTCCCTTCCCTTAGGTGAACAAATCCAATTATAAATAATAATAAAAAGGTTAAATTAGATATTTCTATGTATCCAAAGTTTAAATACTTCAAAGAGCAGGTAGGAGCCTGGGTCAAACTGATACAGTCAGCCAATATCAGCCATTAATCCTCAAGCTCCACCAGTACTGGTGTCTGTTATGCTGCATTATCATATGAAAGCTTTGGTATCATCACACAGTGATCTGCTCTCTCTGCACCGTTTGAAATTTCTCTCAACACTTTCTGCAGCACATGTAGCACCACGGCTGAGCAGAGAGTCAACCGCCATGTTTCAGTTCAATTTCTGCCTCGTTTGTGAAGTACAGTGGTAGAAAGTTGAACAATGGCCCAGCAAATTTAATGGGGACCAAACATCGGACACAAAAATCCACCACTGGTTTAACTCTTATATTTATATTGGTCAATAGAAGGCTACATTAAGTTTGCTTATTTCATCTGT